CTAGTGTATATATGTCTATGGCATCTCAAGGAGGAGCAGTGGAAACTGGATTCACCTGAGCTCACACACACACACACACACACACACACACTCACGCACTCACCGACTCTCTCATACATTTTCTCACTCTCTAACACTCACACACACACACACACATAGGCTATATATATATATTGAGAGTGTGTGTGTGACAGAGAGAGAGAGATTAGCATGTTAGCGTCTTGTCACGATCGGTTGTGCTAATGAGATGATAAAGTGAACTAATTGGATCTGTTGGCACTTCGTGTTCAATTAATCAATTACTTACTGCTTTGTGTGTGTGTGTGTGTCTGTGTGAGAGAGAGTTATTGGGACAGTGTGTTACACTCGTTAGACACTTGACAAAATGTTATTATCAGTCCAGCAAAAGGCATGAAATTAAAGAGTAATCAGGTTTTAATTCCAGCTGTAAAATCCCGAATTATGAATGATGGAAGACTTACGGTGTGAATAGCAACACACACAATCCTTTTCAGTGAAATAGTGTGTGTGTGTGTGTGTGTGTGTGTGTGAGAGAGAGAGAGAGAGAGAGAGAGAGAGAGTGTGTCTCTCTCTCTCTCTCTCTGTGTGTGTGTGTGTGTGTGTGTGTGTGTTCAGTAGGTTGCATTAATTGGCCCATGTTCTAATTCCACTCCAAGACAATTTCATAAAGAGAGAGAAAGACCTTCAAACGACCTTCTTAATCAATTGAAAGCCAATAGCGTTGACTGCAGTTTTTCACTTCTCCTCTGCAGTCATCACACACACACACACACACACACACACACTCATGGCTTGTTTGTCTTCTGTTTTCCGCTTTATGTAAACATTTTTGACTCCGTTTCAAAGGGATATTTCAGATAATAATGAAAAGTCTGTGATTTATGCACGCTGTTTCAGACCAGTATGACTATATTCAAAGGGCTGGTTTAATGACCTTTCAACAAGATGTAAAATAAGTCTCTGATGTCCCCAGTGTGTGTGTGTGTGTGTGTGTGTGTGTGTGAAAATACCCTTGCAGATATATTATATAGCATGTTAAAATTTTAACTTTTTGAGGGTGAGCAAAAACCGTTTGTGTGTGTGTGTGTGTGTGTGTGTCTCTTTAAATGCAAATGAGCTGCTGCTCCCGGCACAGGGGGCGGAGCTACAAGAGCTGTGTTTGTGTGTGCATGTGTGTGTGTTAGCAGCTCTGATTATTTCACACACACTGAACATTTCAAACACCTTTATCCTTTTTATGTTCAAACCGGAGTCAGAAGATGGAGAGACTCAAGGAGCGACGACGGGACATTTCTGAATGGTTAGTTGATGAATTTATGCAGCTGATGTGTAAACTACTAACTCTCTTCAAGTCATTGATTAGGACGAGGCTTATTGCATTCACTTGAAGAAAAAAAATCTACTCTGTTTTTCTGAATTAACGAGTTAATTTTTCATGGAAATGTTTTTTTGCTCTGTTTTTCTGAATTAATGAGTTAATTTTTCGTGAGAAAAAAATATTTTGCTCTGTTTTTCTGAATTAACGAGTTAATTTTTCATGGATTTTTTTTTTTTGCTCTGTTTTTCTGAATTAACGAGTTATTTTTCTCATGAAAAATTAACTCATTAATTCAGAAAAACAGAGCAAATTTTTTTTTCTTCAAGTGAATGCAATACGCCCGCCGTATATTAGCATATCCTGTCATGATGTATAAATCGCGTTCCTGGGGGCGGGGTTTATGCAAATCTTAGGGTTCGTGATGTCCCTAACCGGTGAAGAAGCTCATTGTAGTCCCTACAGGCCGTCTGTTGTAGTCCTTTAAAGAGATTTCTGTAAAAGAAAATCTCTCCCTTTGCTTTGAACGTTGAGCGTCGTGTTAAAGTTCGAAAAGTGAAATCACGTGTTTCTAGTGTTGGGTGGAGGAGTGTGTGATTCGAGTGTGTAAACGAGTCTAAATGAAGTAGTTAATATAAAACTCTCTCTCTCTCTGTTCTTCTCTGTCTCTGTGTGTGATCTCATTAACATCGTTTCTTCCACGGCTCCAGATGCAGTGCCTGACCACGAGGTCATTACGCCACTGCGGGTCTGTCTCACACACACACACACACACACACACTCCTGCGTGACGCTGAACAAATGGAGGAACGCTCCCGCTGATATTAGTTAGTCTGTTGGATTTGCATAAGCCTCTCCAAGAAATATATTGTTTAATTAAATTGAAAACTTCTTCTGTCCAATTTGAGCAGCTCAGATACGTAATACACAGTTTCATAATTTACAACACACACACACACACACACTAAACATGAACCAAAATAGTTATAAATAACTCACAATATTTGCCAGCAATTTAAAAAACAATTAAACCACAAGAGATGCTTTTTTATGGCAAGCTGTTTTAGCTTTTATTCATTTCCAGGATATGAATTCTTGATATCAACAATTACATTTTTGATATCAAGAATTCAATTATTGATATCAAGAATTCATATCCTGGAAATGAATAAAAGCTAATACGGCTTGCCATACGCCCTGATGATCCTGTAATCCCGATCGTCTCAGTTTCACTCGCGCGTCAGATGTTCCTCGAAAGGGAACGAGAGAGTTAAAGGAAGCGAATGTTTCTGTTGTGCATTAGATGAGAGGAATTAATATTAGGCAACAATGAATAAAAGCACAATATTTCTCTACTTGTACTAAATATTTCATCACGAATGATATTATTAGCACAACAATTTAAGAGAAAACCGTAACTGCAACACAATGGTTTCTTCTTCTGTGGAAGCCGGACGAGTGTCACGATCTGATTTACTTTATCTGAACATTAGCAGAAATATGTATTTCACTCCACAGCTTTTTCTTTTCTATCACCACATTTAAATTGGATTTTCAATCCCAAATTTTCTCTCGCTGACGTTTGGACCTCACTGTATATTTTATTCACATTAAATATTAAATATTTAAACCAGCTCACAACCTACATCTGACACATGCAGATGTGCATTAATATATAATCACTGTAATTTCTGTTGTTTATTGCATTACACTAAAAACCTAGAAATAACCCACGAAGTCGGAGCTCATGGTCAGCGTTTCCCTTTATAATAACAGAATCAACGCAGCGCTCATTTATTACAATATCACATCCACCTTAAACCAGCCAATCAGAGACGAGCTTGCCATTTTCAGAATGTTTCTAGACATTTTTGTGTAGAATATGCAAAACCATGGAATAATACAAATATTATTAATAACATAAGAAACTGAAATGAACTGTTTTGAACTGAAATGAACAATTCTGTGGTAGAAATAAACTTAGACGCAGCGTAATCAGGCTTCTTACATTCTGGACAGCCTTCGAGTGCGAGAGAGAGAGAGAGAGAGAGAGAGAGAGAGAGGGCGAGAGAGCACTCAGGGGTGATGGATCGACCGGCCGTTTGCGTTTTCCATATGGAATGATATCATACTGTTCTCTGGGGAACAGAGGGGGAGGGGCTGAAGGAATGACATCAGAATATTAATGAGGCGGCACAGAGTTGATGTCACTTTCTCTCTGGCAGTGAGCCACGCCCCTTTAATAGAGCCACGCCTCTTTAATAGAGCCACGCCCCTCTGAGCAGCAGCAGCAGACAGCTGTCACACTCTGTGTCTCACACACACACACACACACACACACACTGACCCCGTCAACAGAATCACTATGTTTTGGAGCTCTGAAAATCAACCAGTGCCTACAAATCAAGCCAATGTCATACACACCCTGCAGTGACACACACACACACACACACACACACACACACACACACACACTTTGGCTCAACTCTGCTGCCAGTGGCTCTGGGTATTTTGTGAGATTTCTTTGGCAAGCCTGAAAAAGGAAGGTTTTCTACATTATGTTTAGGGATCAGACACAATCACAGCTGCTTCTGTGTGTGTGTGTGTGTGTGTGTGTGTGTGTGTGTGTGTGTGTGTGTGTGTGTGTGTGTATGTGTGTGTGTTTCTCTGGTGGGGTGATTAAAT